AAGTTTTCACAATTTTTTGAAAAATTTTGAAACGGCAGCTTTTTCCACATCGACACCATATGTTTCAAGTTTCTACCGTAATCCTACAGTAATGAAGTGAGATGGGTGATTCATTCTATAACGGAAATCTAAGCTGAAGCCAGCTCTACAAAAAGCTCTACAAATCGGTACCTGAAGCAAGGCAAAAGACTTCTTGGGAAGAGAGATATTAACGATCAAACGTTCTAAACATTTTTTTGGGACACCCTGTATATTAGGTTGTACCGAAAGTTCTGTCATTTCATTTTTGAAAATTTGTAACTTTGCGCTGTTTCAACGGATTTGCTTGCCTGTAATTTCATTAGAAAGAACAAGTCTTTTTCTTTCATACGCTGTTTGCGGAGCTTCTGTTTCACATTGAGTGCAAAGATAAAAATGGAAAACTAAGACCATGTAAACTTTGACCATTTCAAGTTAGCTCACCAAAAATCTGGAATGCTGCAGAAAAATCTGAAATCGTAAGTACATATGTTTTTTGACCTACCCTTTGCATCCGTGAAAAAGTTGTGCTGTTTGGACGTCTCTGTGAGAAGTTATGATTTTCGCGAAAATTGACAAATTAATTAATTTTGGCCTTTTCCATAGTAAACTCGATCATTCTATAATAAAGAATGGCAAGGTTTTGCACTTACATGTTTACAAGTTGCGGACTGAGGCGAGTGATTGCCGAGGGTGCGGAGGGTACAAATTTGTCAACAAGGCTAGCGCGTTTTCGTAGGGGTAAGCATCGTTTTCCTCGAGCAATGTTTTCGAAAGGGGTGCGGCTACTAAGTGCAAAAAGGCTATTGTTGTGGAGGTGCCGACACTCTCGTAGGGTTGCTAACAGTACCCCCCCCCCTTTCTTTCGCAAGTTTGAACTCTGCCGGTATGAATGATTCGGAACTCGCTGTCTAGCGTAGACATGTAGTAGTTCCTCAACGTTTACGCTTCGACTGCTCACATTTTCATTTTCCTGCTTAAGTTCTTGGCTGCCCATAATCAGTTAAAGTTCATAGCTGGCATAGTTGGTGAGAATTGATGAGGACAGTTCTTTGTTCTTGAAATAAGTTGGTAAGTCGTAAGGCTATTCTTATAGGTCTCTGCAATCATTTCTCACAACTCCAGTCTGTTCGCTGTTCATTGGGCATATCTTTCAATGCTTAATCTGTTCATAGGGCTCTTTCTTGATTTGTAGGTGCCCGCAAGGCAGTTCTACTAAAAATATTGATCTGTAAGCTCCCCTGAGGAGCTTTTTCGACCATTATCCAGTTAGCGGTTATTTGTAGGGTGGTTCTTTCTCAAAGTATCGGTCCGCAAGGGGAACATTTCATTTTCATATTTATAGTTCTAAAGGTGGACCATAATGCGCTTTTTCTCAGATATGAATTTGTAGGGGAGCGGAAGGGCTCGTAGAACCGTCATACAATTATCGTTCCATAAGCTTCTCATAAGGCACTTTTTAGGCTCGTACTTGTTTCTCAAAATGCTGATGTATAAGCGACTAGGGCACCTCCTAAAATTGTCGGTCTGTGTGTGGCGCGTAGAGGAGTTACTTGTGAAATTTGGTTTGTATGAGGCGTAGATATACTATAAGCTGTTCTAATTATTTTTTCCCTCTCAGAAGACTGATTTATAAGGGACTTGGAAAGCGCTCTTTCTCAAATATCGGTCTTTGAACGGCTGCAATTTTTTTTCGAGATATTGGTTTGAGGGTTTCCAGCTCAATTCTTGATATATCGGTCTGTGAGCGCCCATAGGGCGGTTATTTCCCAAAATGCTGCAAGAGGCCCATGGAGCGATTCTTTACAAATTATCTTTTGCAATCGATTTGCAGCGGCCCATAGAGCAATTTTCTTGAAATATTGGTCTGTAGAATCCCATAAGGCAGTCCTTTCTCAAAATATGGTTTGTAGGTGGCCCATAGAGCAGTTCTATCACAAAATATTGGTTGTATATAGGTTCCAAGGGCGGTTCCTCCTCAAAATACCATTGTGTAGGCCTCTAACAATAAGTAGCTGGCAGCTTCTTTCTCAAGACTTCGGTCTTTGGCTGTCCATAGAGCAGATTATACGTGAGTGGTAGGGCAATACAGTTTGTAGGGGCTGTAGTATAATCTGGAATATCTGCTGATCCCCCATAGGGCAGGGCTTTCTATAATTATCGGTCTGTGGGGAAAGGAAGAGGGGGGGGGGGGTAAGATAGCTTTTTCTCAGAATATCGTCTTAGGGCAGTCTCAGCACGGTTCTTTCTCCAGTAGGGTTTTTGGGAGAGGAACGACGGAGGAAGGGGGGGGGGTTTTGTAAACCTCGGTCTGTAGGGGGACTGTGAGTAACTTCTCAAAACATCGGTGTGTTGGCCTATAAGGCATTTTCTTTCTATAACTACCACTCTGCAGCGGCGCATAGGGCAGTTATATTCTCTAATATATCGATAGTTGTTACGTAAAGGTATGTCTCAAGCAGCTCATAGCTTCTGTTGTTTCAAAATACCAGCTTGTGCTACACATAGGGCGAGCGACTGCTTCTTGCAATAATAGACTTTAAGCGGCTCTTAGGGCAATTTTTGAAAGTTGGTTTGAAGATTTGAAGGGCAATTTCTTCTTGATATCGGTCTGTGTGCGTCCATAGGACAACCTTTTCTGGGAAAGGTCCGTAAGCGGCTCGTGGGATCCTTCTACATGAGCAGTTCTTTTTTGAAAATATCTTTTTTTGAAAAATACCAGTCTGTAAGCAGCCCACAGTGTGGTCTTGTCAAAATAAGGGTCTGTAAGCGGCCCATAGGGCATTTCCTTCTATGACTAATTACCGTACGCGGGCGGACCATAGGGCAATTTTTTCCGTCTGTAAGCAGCCTATAAGGCTTCCCCGCAATATTCGATTTGTAGGGGGGGGGAATTGTATGGCAGACTTATCCCAGAATACGATATCATTTGTAGGGGTATGAAGGGCAGTATTTTCTCAGATTACCGCTCTGTAGGAGGCCTGTAGGAAAGTTTTTCTTGAAGTATTCTTCTCCAGGATCGCAGGACAGCTCTCACATATACCGCTCTGAAGGCGGTATGCGGAGCAGTACGTATTTGCAAAAAGTGGTCTATAGGCACGCATAAGGCATGAGAATACAATGCTTGTTTTCGCTGCCGGAATTTTTCGGGAACTGAGGTACTTTCTGAGTATTTAGCTGAGTGTAGACTACATCGTCGCTTTGAGAGTCGACTGCTTGGTGACTCTGTTGAGACTGGTGCAAACATTTGACCCAAAGAAAATTTTTAGAAGAGAGTCAAAAGGTATCGAATAATCAGCAAAGAGGATTCTCACAATCAGAAGAGTCAAAAGTCATTTATTAGTCGGTTTCAGTTGCCCAGAACCCTAAAAAGGTATAAAATGTAGAGGTTATTGTGGTGATGACTATATGTACCCTAGCATACTTGCAAGCGGCCCTTAGGGCCGCTAGTATTCATAACTTCTCACAAAGACGTCCAAACAGCACAACTTTTTCACGGATGCAAAGGGTAGGTCAAAAAACATATGTACTTACGATTTCAGATTTTTCTGCAGCATTCCAGATTTTTGGTGGCCTAACTTAAAATGATCAAAGTTTACATGGTCTTAGTTTTCCATTTTTATCTCCGCACTCAATGTGAAACAGAAGCTCCGCAAAACAGCGTTTGAAAGAGACTTGTTCTTTCTAATAAAATTACAGGCAAGCAAATCCGTTAAAACAGCGCAAAGTTACAAATTTTCAAAAATGAAACGACAGAACTTTCGGTACAACCTAATATATTAGGGGGTTCACAAAGTTCGTTCGCCAGATTTTCAAAAAATCATAACTTCCTTCCTTCTTAGTGGAATTTCTTGAGTTTATTCCTGTTCAAAAGAGGAAACCTTTCTTTTTACAACAGTACCTTTGACATGAAATAGCTTGAGAAATTTCGAGAGTTACAAGCAGTTGAATGAAATCACTTAAGATCGGCACTTTTCAAGCAGGGTCACGAAAAATTCTGGAAGTATTTTTATTTGATAGAGTAAATTTTGCTTATTACAGTGGTACCTTTTTCATGAATTAAAAAGAAGAAGATCGTGAGTTAGAAGTAAGAAAAGGCGAAAAAGTCATAAACATGGGTTTTGTGACCTTCCCTTTGTAAATAGCTGAGCGAAAATCTTTCCAGTCGGGAGCAATTTTCATTTTCGCGATTTATTCGGATTTTCGGGTCTGCGTTTTCCACGAAAATGAAAATTGCTCCCGATTGGCATGATTTTCGCTCAGCTAGAAAGGGTAGGTCACAAAACCCATGTTTATGACTTTTTCGCCTTTTCTGTGACGTTTTCAAGCTTTTTGTGCATGCTCAAAAATTGCAAAAGTGAAGAAATTCTCTTTAATTACTTCTAACTCTCAATCTACTTCGTTTTAATTCATGAAAAAGGTACCACTGTAGTGAGCAAAATTTGCTTCATCAAATAAAAATACTTACAGATTTTTTCGTGACCCTGCTTGAAAAGTGCCGACCTTAAGTGATTTCATTCAACTGCTTTTAGCTCTCAAACTTTCTCACGCTATTTCATGCCAAAGGTACTGTTGTAAAAAGAAAGGTTTCCTCTTTTAAACAGGAACAAATTCAAGAAATTCCACCAAGAAAGAAGGAAGTTATGATTTTTTGAGAATCTGGCGAACGAACTTTGTGACCCACCTAATATTCACACTTTGGTTTCAAACCTCCTCCTCTCCTCTTTGCTAGAGCCCTCCTCTCCTCTTTGCTAGAGCCAAAAATAGCTTTAGCAGCTCATTTTTCTGAGGAGGAAGGCGCGCTCCAAATCTATCAGCGTCGCTGAGTCCTATGATCAGCGTCGCTCTGATATTTCATCACTTCTATATCGCGTCGTTCATTCCTCTTCGCTGTTACTTTCGCTTGTCCTCGCAGTCTTCTACTCGTCTTATCATATCACTCGTCTTATCATATCTCGTCATATCAACTTTCGTATTTAGGGATGATTGGACGAATCTCTCAGCTAAGTAATCTATCATGTGGTCCTCCCGTTCATCAGAGGTTAGTGATTTTGCCTTTTAAGATTTGTCTTCATGCTTCCTCCGTTTTCCTCCATCATGCTCCTGTTGTGTTCATAATCTGATATGTTTAAAAGTCGTGTTGGTCATCAGTATTCCTCTGCATCATCCACGGGGGTTCTTGTTAGAAGATATGTAAATCATTGTTACAATTGGTTTTTCGATCGGATCTATACAGTCGAGTAGATGTTCCGCTTTCTGTACCTCAACATTTTTACAACTTTTTATGTCCGTTACGTTGTGTATTACGTTTATTATGCTTTTTATGTTTACTTTTATGTCAACTGTTTAAGCTAAGCTGGAACTGTCATTGATCCGCCATGGTGAGCTTTTTCTTTTTGAATGGCTTCTCTTAGGTAAGCTTCTTCTTCAGTTTTTTACTCTTCCGTTCATCACTAATTTCAGTTGCGCTATTCTTGTGCCTAATTACGGCCGCATTCGCTCAATACGGCGACCGGGATTACCGCAGCAGCAGCACGAGACAGGAACAACCTCCACCTCTCTGGATCGACGGGTCCACAGTCTGGGCTGCAGATCTTTTAACAACCACCGTCACACACATAATTATCGAGATCGCACAAAGCCCGTTTTTGCGCCTGTTGGTATTCTTTAAGAAGCTGGGCCAACACCTGGAAACGGGGGTGAAGGCGAGGGGGAGCGCGTAGGGGGGAGGAAGTTCCTCTTTGAGGACACTGAGGCGGGGGGTGAGGCGAGGAAGCTCGCGGCGGCAACGGCCCATTGCGGCTGCTGATGCTGTCATTTCCTTGTAGTGGTGTCCAGCGCCGAAACTTGAATGGTGTTTTGTGAGCGAAGAAAACAAACTGCGGCAACAACGGCGCATCAAATTTGCAACTGCAGTCTAACAGTATAAAGAAGAGAAATGCTTTTCATCCAGTGATGTGTTTGTAAGGAGATGTTAACAGCGCAAATATACAACCAGATACAACATACAACCATACAACCATATACTACCAATATACAACCAGATGACGCAATGTGCAGTCAGTTACAAAACAAAATGTGAAACTCGAAAGTAGAGGGAGCACAGCAACCTAAGTCATTCCATCAGTCATTGATATAGACAAAGGATAGAAGAGATAAACAAAGCAAAAGAGAGGAAGAAATGCATAATGTGAAAAAACACTATTGAGGGACACGAATGTGCAGCAAATATAGAGATACATCAGAAAAAGTGGAGCTCTGCTCGCCCTCCTTCATACTACGCCGAGTACGCGGGGTGCGCGGCGTGCGCGGCATAGTATAACCCTTAATGAGGTCCAAAAATCAAAGCGCAAGCACCAGCTTGCTCTCTGATTTTTTTGGACCTCATTGATTGATTTTTTGCTCTTTTGAGTGAGAGGAGTGGAATGTAAGAGTGGCTGTGGGAGTAGAGTAGATGAAGATTAGGGTAGTTGAAGATGAGGGTGAGTGTGAGAAGTATTGTAAGAGTGTAGATTACTTGAAAATGAGTGAATGGAGTGTTAGGAGTATTTTTGTAGGATTTTTAGGGAACTTGAGAGTGAGTGAGAAGAGGTGCGTAGCAAGTGTTACCCAGGCAGCCGCCTGGTGCCGCAGCCAGCCGCCAGAGCTGGCACCAACGCCGCGGCTGAGCTACCGTAAGCGCGCTCTCGTCGTCCGCAATCTCTCGCAGAGAGATTTTCGCAGCAGCCTCGCACCTCATCGCGCTGAGGTGCGAGAATTCCCTCAGAGGTCGAGCTACTGCCACACATCATATATCGATCAACACAGCGGAAAATTTGTAGTTTATTAGTAATATACATTACAAAAAATATACAAAAACAAAAAAAAGTTGAATAAATAAAAAAAATAAAAATTAAATTGAAAGCATAATATCGTGGAGTAATTTCATAAAATTACAAAATAGATTGTTGAATGTTTTTTGGCACAATTCGTTGTGACCTTTGGGGCAGAAGACTTCTAACACTAACTAGGTTAGATATTAGAAAACTGTGCCACATATGGAGGTATAAAAGAAGAAATGATGCTGAGTAGCTAGGATTCGAGATGTCAAACTCTCAGCTTTACAGCCTTCAGTCTGAGCATCTTGCTCAAATTACCTATGTAGAAAATCCGTCCCTTTTGGAGGTAATTTTTGATTTTTTGCTAGTTACCGAATCTTTTTGAAAATTTATCAATCCCAGAATCCACTACCTGCTACAAGCCAGCTCTACTCTGCAGCCGCTGAAAGTCGTGAATTTCGTGGAGAACTTGAAATAAGTGAGCAGGGGGTTCACCCTGTCCCAGGCTCTCACCTTTGCTACGTTTTTCAATATCACAAAAAAACTTCAAGGACCGACACGGCACTTTATACTTGTCGCAGATGTAGGAGACAAAACAAGAAATATACTTCTGTTGCGGTATGTAGATGACTGTTAGCTGATTTTTAAAAATTTCTCTTTAGGTAAACAATGATTTATTTGAACAAGATCCCTGCCTCTTGAGTCACAACTGTATACCCATGGACAGAAATAAAGACAAAGCAAACCGTGTGGCTTATGAGGTTTTTGGAAATTTGAAATTTACTTGTAATTCAAAAAATATTGCGAGTTTAGAGCTGCCAGAAAATAAAAAGGGGACCGCAAAAACAAAGAATCAGCCCCGGTGTCCAATTCAACGAAACCGCCTTTTCGATTTTGAAAACTTCATGGAAATGTAGGTTCCCTGACTAGATACAACTAAATTCAGTAGAAAGAAAATGAGTTTAGCACTGGAGGCTAGAAAGAAATTCTTAGCAAATTTTGTGAGAACGGGCTATGCAAGCAGAAGGTGCTCGTTTACTAGGTAATTCCTTATTTCTTTTTTCATTTCAAGATTAATTGTGAATTGTTGGATTTAGAGCTGCATCCTCGCAAGTAAATAGGGTAGAATGAACAGCATCCCCGAAGAGTTAAGAATTTTACCGGATGGGGAGGCCGCTTTCAATTGAATTTTTATTTTTTTTTATTTATTTAACTTTTTTTTGTTTTTGTATATTTTTTGTAATGTATATTACTAATAAACTACAAATTTTCCGCTGTGTTGATCGATATATGATATGTGGCAGTAGCTCGACCTCTGAGGGAATTCTCGCACCTCAGCGCGATGAGGTGCGAGGCTGCCTCTGCGAGAGATTGCGGACGACGAGAGCGCGCTTACGGTAGCTCAGCCGCAGCGTTGGTGCCAGCTCTGGCGGCTGGCTGCGGCATCAGGCGGCTGCCTGGGTAACACTTGCACGCCTCCCAGTGAGAAGACGGGAGTGTGAGGAGTTGTGTGGAATAAGAGTGTGTGAGGGGGAGAGCTTTCATACATTGTGAGCTGAATGATAAGAATTCCCCTCCCCCTCCTCTCCCCTCCCCTTCCTCCCCCCCCCATGCTGCCGGTGCTATTTGTAAAAAAATCTTTTGGTTTCTTCTTTCTAATCTCACGCTCAAAAGATTTACTGTGAGTACAAGTCAGAAGTTCACGTGGTAAATGCTCCAACATCCTTGACAAAATTTCACATTTATGCAAAACACACGAGGTTGTTTCCGCTCACCACTTATGTGAGTGATTAGGTGGAAAATGTATTAGTTCTACCACTACTGGTCTGAACACCCAGTATTTGGAGGGCTTCAGTTTAGTTTCATCTCTGAAAATTCTGAAAGCCAATACAAGATCGTGCACAATTCTACAATACGGGAAATGTTCGAAATTGAGCGTTTTCAAACGCTGTTCGTAAGTTGGAAGTGATCGAGGATATGCATGGCTGGGAAGACAGATAAAACAGTCTCGTAAAGGTTTCATGAACGTATTTCAAGGCTAGAATGTGTTTTCTCAAGGAAGGACTTCATATTTGGTTTGCGTATCCGATCACAGGAATAACAAGAGTGTGGCGACTCGGTGGGCTCATGGCACCTAGATGGAACACCGAGGCCTGGTACTCGCCCGCTACTGACGACGAACCTATCCTACTGCATTACCTAACTCGCGACCGTAAGAACGACATAGACTAAGTTATTTACCCCTGTAACATCACACTATAATTGAAATTAACAATATGCTGAACTAAAGCAAATTACTAACTACCTAATAATAAACGCGGGACAGGGACCCGTCCCATGCTACCAATGCGTGTAAGGTGATAGTCATGAACAGGTGGGCTCTCGAGGTTTCGCGCAACAAATCCACCGCGCAACCCAAGGTTGCAGACGAAGGCACGCCCCCTCCAGCTTTCGTAGATTTTAGAATTCCAACTTAACACTCAATTACGCTCAGCCTCACTAAGGCGCGTCTATAACGCTAACTGGTATAGTCGTCCTCACCCCACTAATCGGTGGTCGAATTTGAATTCGAACTGGAGCAGGCCGGACGCGGCAGAGCGCGGCAGACCGCCCCTCAGCCAATCGTTTTGCACATGAGCTTTCCTCTTATTTTCTTCGTGTTTCTTTGCTATCTCTAATATTGCAGCAATGTTCTTGATCATATCTTTAGATTTCGTACAGCTTACTATTGTTTTGTGCAGTTGTGCCCGTTTATTGTACATTTTTTCCAAGCAAACCCAGAAGAAGGATGTGATTGAAGATTTTTGGATGAGAAATCTCTTTTTTAGGTGACATACACACAGAAGTGATTTGATGAGCTGTGTCAAGTTTTTTGTTAGAATGTGTACAAAACTATTTTTTTAGGGGTGAAATTCTCTCAAAAAGCGTTTGTTTTAGAGAGTTAGCGGACGAAATCCGAAAATCTGATCAAGAACATTGCCGCCTTAATAGAGATAAAAAAGAAACGACGAAAATAAGAATAAAGCTTGTGCAAGCGGTTTGCTGAGGGGCGGCGTCTGCCGCGCTCTGCTGCGGTCGGCTTGCTCCAGTTCGAATTCAAATTCGACCACCTACCGACTAGTGGAGTGAGTACGACTATAGTAGTATCCATTTACCAATCCAAAAGACTTCGGCTCACTACTCTTACAAAAAAGGACAGGAGCATAGGGCTGAAATACAATCAATACAAAAGAGGAGGAGTTAATCAATCGATAAAAAACGGAGACGAACAAGCGCTGAACTAAGGCGCGGTCGCCTTTTATAGCCGCCGAGCTGGCAACGAGCCAGCATAAGAGAGGTCCGAAGGCGATTGCAGCAACACGCGTCACGGCTACCGTAATTCGTTGGATAGCGCGGTAACTAAAGCTCCCGCCCTCTGTATCGAGGAGCGCCTTGCATCGCAAAACGCGACAAAGAGCTTTGTAAAGTTTAATATAATTTTCGGATCTGCAGTTCTGATGTTTCGGAAAATTGTACACAAAATGAAAAATGCTCGAGACGTAACGGATATATGTAGATCTCGCTTTAGTCTGGAAGTGACCGTAACTTCTGAACCTCTAACTGATACTTTGCTGATAAGACAAACTCGATTATACTTGTAATGTGCATTTTCATCGTTGCTAATATGGAAAATGCTGCTTTTAGCAATATTGACAAAGATATCACAGTTTGCACCAGTCGACCATCAATAGAATTTTACAAAGCTTTTCTGACCTAACAGCTATTACTGACATTGCAATGTCCATATGTTAGGTTGGAACTGCAATTCTCTTCATACTTACTTTTTTGGATGTTGCGCTCCCAATTTGGGAATATAAAGAGAGTAATGCGTTCTACAACTGTGCACAAACTATATGAATTTTGAAAACGAATTAGAATAACTAGAGGAGCAACTTATGGATTCCGAAAATTTATTCGGTTAAAAACCAAAATGAAGCCGTTAGCATTCTAGTCCACAATTAATCGAATTGTGTGTGTATTTTTTGATACTGGTGCATTTATCTAATCTAACGAAAAAAGCTTTACAAACACTGCTGAAACAAGCGTCATTGATCAAAGGGTCGAGATTTCAGAACTCGGCGAGACTTCACACATTGGGGTTATTTAACCTGACAAATACGAATATCATATTCATTTGGTGTATAAATGCCTTCCTCCTTAATTGAGGTTAAACCTTAAACCGTAAACCTAGAGTACCTTACAAAAAGCCCTTATGATGCATTTTCAGCGTTGTTTTCGTGATCGGACGTTGTGTAACAAATCTGTAAAATTTTATAATTTTTTTCTTTGTACATGTACGTAATCCTCACTGCGACGTTAGAATTTGGCAAGAGAGCAGCTGATTTTGTAGTTTACGTCATAATCCACCTAATGGTAAATTTTGAGTGCGCCGTGTTGAAGAAGAAGAAAGTTATAAGTAGTTGCAATTTAGTTTCCCACTTAATATTTTAATATCGTCTGTGTACATCAGATTTCAATTAATTAAGAGGGCAACTCTCGTCCATTTTTGCATTTAGTACCTATGTCTTAGGGGTTTTCCTCTTTTGTCTAACAGGTGCCATATTTTCAATTTTTAGAGGCAGTGAATTGCGCTTCTTAGCCATATTTGGTTTATTTCGAACAATTGCTCGTTCCCGTCGTACAGACGGTGACTTTCTCGAACCTTAAACTCCTCGTTAAAAAAGATTCGATCTGTAATTGATATTACTGTTTGCAATATTTATAAGATAACGGTTTTGACTATTATAACAATAGTATAGCTATATCCTCCAATATTCTGCTTTTAACATTACATTGACCTCGAATTAGTTTTCCATTTGATATCAATTGTAATAAACGGAACTAAAACAAAAACTGCTTCTCAAGATAAAGAGAAACACTGCAAATTTAATTGAAACGAATTAGTTAAAGCAGACTCAAAATTCAAAAAAATGCATCTGTGTCACCCTCGGTTTTTTGATAGCCTATTCCAATTCTTTCTGACCTTCTGATGGCCTCCTTCTCTCTTTCCCTTCCTAAAAACCGCTTTTCATTTTCAGAATGAGATTAAGAAATCATTCATAAAAAATCAGATAGTAATTAATATAGTAAACAAAGCCAAACAACAAATTAAATAAAACCCACGTTACTTGCGTCTACGTGGGAAGGCCCCTCATTTGTATCCCATAGGTTTCAATAGTTGACACCTGTTAGTCTTAATGAACAGCGAACCAACTCACTTTTCTGAAGCAAAAATAAATTGTCGCACCTCCAACTGCTCTTTTTCAGAAAACGTCAGCGAATCTTCCGCTGGTAAGCCAGTCCAAGCAGACATATTTATACTGGATTTAGTGGCGTCCATGGTGAACTTAGTGACTAAAAGTACATATTTTATGAACATCAAATTATACCAGTTATAATAGATTCTCAAAAAGTTTCAAATCATTCACACCCTTTTTAAACGTAATGCAGGACACCTACAACGTGACTAAAGATGCACTTCTTTTAAATAATTTCGGATAATGAATAATACTCTTGAAAATTTACTTCAACAGCTTATATAACACTCACCCTAACCTCTCGATTTCTGAGGCTTTCATAGTCCGTTCTCGATTGATAAAAATACCTTCATTGTTTTCTTTATCGTAATTCATTAAATCTGCACATCCTTCAAAAATATAATCTCGTCACTATGAATCTAAAAAAACGTATGAAACTTTAATCTGAAAAAGTTTTTTTTCATTAATTTTCTTTACTTAATTATTTTCTTAATCACATGACCTGGATTTTGTTTTGGACACCACCTGCAAGTGGCCAAGAGAATGCGAGAGGGTCTCGGACGAATATTTAAAACATGTATATTTTATTTTATTCTGTTTACCAATACTAATTTACTTCTTACTTCAGGATGTTATGGGCGAAATCCTAGAGCATGCGGTCGAAAGTTTCTTTTCAGGGTTTTCCAACCCAGTTATGCGTACCCATTTAATTGAAACTTTATTTACACTATCCTGCTACGCATCCTTTCTTTACATTTCTTCTTTCATTCTTTTCAGCAATTGTAAACCAAAAAGTAGCATAAAATCTTTTTTCAACAGTTTTATTACGTTTTCGAGGTCTTCTATCCCCGCATCATACAAAAAATTATCGATTTCTAGCATATGAAATGGTTTCTTGACGAAAGAAATTCTAAAGATTTCCTACGCAGTTTTCTAACATACTCGATAGATTTGAAATGTTGATTTTTAGCACATACTCAGATAATCGCCGGGGGCAGGCGGTTTGCAAACTCGCGCTTTTCTGCGGGCGGTCAGCAGATTTTGAGGCCTAGCCAAATCTTCAGCACTTCCTTTACGGTCGCATATTCTGCCAGTCGGCAGCAATACAGCATATCTTGCAAACGCTCGGCAAATAATTCCTTTCAGCGAGCGCTGGCTAAACTTTAAGCAAGTGCTAGGACTCCTTTAACGCAGTTTCGGGCATAAGCCGAGTAAAGATGAGACTCTATGTGGGAGAGGTGTCATCGATGGTTTAATTACTCAAGTTTGAGGTACCTTCTTTTAGCGGAAGGTACTCACGGGCTGTGCGGTCCTTCATAAAGTATCGTGCGGCCCTCAGTATTTTTGCATATTCTCGCGGAAAGTCCGCGAGAATGCGGCAACTGCGACGCAACTAATCTTTAGGAATAGGCGATTGTTCTCCGAGCGTTAGTCTAAAATTTAGCCAAAATTCTTCCAAATTTCTGCAAGCGGACCGCATAAAATCAGCGAACTATTTTTCCGGTGACCGCTTGCTCAAAATTCGCATGGCCGCCTGCCCCCGGCGATTCTCTGAGTAATTAGCTTAAGAGATTTTAAATAAAGAGTACTAGCACTCAGATAATTGCCGGGGACAGGCGGCCATGCGACTTCTGGGCGGGCGGGCACCGGAAAAATAGTTCGCTGATTTCTTGCGGTCCGCTTGCAGATATTTGGCGGAATTTTAGCGAAATCTTAGACGAATGCTTGGAAAATAATCGCGGTTTCCTCATACATCAACTGCGGCGCAGTGGCCGCATTCTCGCGGACTTTCCGCAAGAATATGCAAAATTTTCGAGGGCCGCACGGTCTTTTGTGGAGGACCGCGCAGCCCCAGGTACTTTCCGCTGAGAGAAAGTACCTCAAACTTGAGTAATTAAACCATCGATGACACCTCTGCCATATAGAGTCTCACCTTTGCTCGGCGTACGCCCGAAAATGCTTAAAAACCGTCCGAGAGCCAGCTGAAAATTTGACCAGCGCCTGCAGAAAATTCTGTGTTGCTGCCCGCTGGCAGAACTTTAGACAGTGAAGGAAGTACCGCTCGCTGAAGGTTAGGCCCCGCCCCAAAATTCTGCTGACCGCTTGCAGAAAAGCGCGAGTTTGCGGACCGCCTGCCCCCCCCCCCCCCCGCGATTATCTGAGCACAGAACAACGTAAGATTACAAACCCTATTTGTATATAGTAGGTTGTCTCATAATTAATGCACGTTTTTATTTGCTTGCTTTAACAAAGCAACCAGACTCAACCCAACAAAGGTTATGGGGTACTGTTCGATAGAGCAAAGCAAGCTCCACAAGGTGGCACCTATGCCTTCGCGCCATGCTCGATCCACGGAGAGTTCGAACTTAAAATCTAAAGATTTCCAAATGCCCAAAAAATCGAAAAAAATCAGATCTTCGTCCAAATAATTTCTACGGACCTCCCACTCGCTCGCATCAATACTATCGATATCTGATATCCATGTGTGCGATTGCCGTATTTTTTCCTTGGCTAGAAACTGAGAAAACGAAAATTTTCGTGTTTTTCGATGTCGATTTTAGCACTGAAACTGAAACGAAAAAATCCGAATCCGTTATTTTTCGAAAACTATTGCTTGGAATGAGCTGAAAACCTACAGTTATACTTATCTAGGCTTGTAGTATATAACTACATATGCAAAAACGGCTCAGCATTGCTTTGAGAAAATCAGAGAAATTCTCCTTTTCTCAGTTTCTAGTCAAGGAAAAAATACGACATTAGCACATATGGATATCAGATATCGCTAGTATTAATGTGAGCGAGTGGGAGGTCCGTAGAAATTATTTGGACGAAGATCTGATTTTTTTCGATTTTTTGGGCATTTGGAAATCTTTAGATTTTAAGTTCGAACTCTCCGTGGATCGAGCATGGCGCGAAGGCATAGGTGCCACCTTGTGGAGCTTGCTTTGCTCTATCGAACAGTACCCCATAACCTTTGTTGGGTTGAGTCTGGTTGCTTTGTTAAAGCAAGCAAATAAAAACGTGCATTAATTATGAGACAACCTAATATTTTCATAAGTTGACTTCCAGCACGGAAGCGTAAGAAATCAAAAGTAGATTTATAGCAATAGATAGGCTCAAGTAATCTCTAAGTAGTTTTGCGACGAAATTAATCAATTTCTAGCATAAAAGTAGCTAAAAGATTTCAAATCTCGTTTTTGAGACAGAAAAGATCTATTAGATCTATTTTTAGAACTGGTTTCTAACACAAAGTAGCACAAAAGATACCTACATCTGATTTCTAGACAAACTTGCTCATACGATACAATACACCTACTTCTACTAAAAAAATCACCTCAATAAATGTAAAACATCGTTTTCCTGCAGCTCCAAATATTTGGAACTTATATCTAGCACGAAAAGAACTCAAAAATGAAAGGCTGATTTCTAGCGCGAAATTATGGCACGAAAGCACCTAAAAGATATTAGGCGCTAAATTCTTGCACGAATTTAATTCAAACAATTACATACTCTGATTTTTGGCACGGAGGGAATTCTAGATTCTAGAAACCACCTTTTCCGAAAGGACAGCTCAAAAGCTTGAAAGCAGAATTTTAGTACGGAATAGTTCAAAAATTTCTTGCATCAAGTAACTCGACAGATTTAAAGACTAATTTCTAGCACATAAATAACTCAAGAAATTATAAGTGGGAAACTCTAGCATAAAAATAATTCAAAAGTTTCCGAAAGTCCTCAAAAGTTGACTTCTGACTCGAAATAACTCGGAGTCCTAATACTGATAAACAAAAGAAATTCTAAAACGCTGATTTTTAGCACGAAAATAAATCAAAAATTTCGACTGCTAGATTCTCGCATGGATTATCCTCCATAATTTTGAAAGCTTAATTCTAGCATGGAAATAACTCAACATTTGAATGATATCAAAATTATGCTCAAATAAAACGAAAAATAAAAAATGCCGACACACAACTTTCCTTATAAGTTCAAATTTCCTATAAATCTTGCGCTGGACGAAACAAAGGGCCCAAAAATAGCATCCAGGCCTTAGATCTGATACTCAGTTCAAAATGTAGGCAGCGTTTGTACGACTACACCCCTTTGCGACTATTCTAAAAAAAGATATGAAGAAATTTTACTACATAGGATAATTGGAACACAACTGCTAATTTATTGCATCCATAATCATAAAGGCTGCCGCATGACAAAGACGCAACACCTTTAGGCGGGAACGCGGTTTTGTTAGCTATAGAGCGCATAAAACGCAGGGTTTATAACGGGATACGCGCGCGCCGAGTTCGCGCCCACTCAACAATACTGCTTCTGCGCCTTCGTCATGCAGTAGCCTTTACATAACATACCTGACTTCCCAACAACTGTTCCCTTCACTCCCTCATATCAAAACCGAAAATA